CCCTCCTCCCCAACCCCACCAAAGTCTACCACCCCCAAAACCCCATCTCCTACCTCCTCCCTAACCCCACCAAAGTCCACCACCCCAAAAATCCCATCTCCCATCTCCTCCCCAACCCCACCAAACTCCTCCACCCCCAAAACCCCATCTTCACCATCTTCCAGCTCTTTAGACCCAAAGCAACTCAGAGCCCTCCAATCTCTCAACATCCCAACCTCCAAAGACCCCTGCACCCAACCCTCCCTCCTCCCCCCCAACACCACTCTCTGCGACTCCTCCAAGCCCTTCCGCCACATCCTCTCCCTCCGCCTTGCCAACTGCTCCGACGACGTCGCTTTGTCCTTCACTGCTCTCAAGTCCCTCTCCACCCTCCAGTCCCTCCAGTTCTTCAACTGCCCCATTGCCCCTATCCGCTTCCCGGCCGATCTCGTTGCCTCTCTCCACTCCTTCACCTGCATTAACAGCCTCCGTAGGCTCACTGGCGTCTGGCTCGCGCGCCTCCAAAACCTCACTGATCTCACTGTCTCCAATGTCCAAGTCAATGCCTCTGGACCCTTTGTCATTCTCGGCAACATGAAGAAGCTCAGGTCTGTGACCATCTCTCATGCCAATCTAACTGGTAGTATTCCAAGACACTTGAATTTGAACCTTACCCACATCGATTTTTCGGGTAATAAGCTACAGGGGAAGATACCCTCTTCAATCACACTCCTTGAAAACCTTGAAAGCTTGAACCTTTCCTCTAATTCCTTCAATGGAGAAATACCCACTTCGTTTGGGGACCTGATTTCACTAAAGAACGTGTCTTTAGCTTCAAATTCGTTGTCTGGAGCCATACCAGAGTCAATGTCTGCAATTCCAGGGTTGGTTCATGTTGATCTGAGCTCCAATCAGCTGAATGGTACAATTCCAAAGTTCCTCTCAGATATGAAGAGCTTGAAGCACTTGAATCTTGCAAACAATGACTTCCATGGAGTTGTGCCTTTCAATGTGTCATTTATAAACAAATTGGCAGTGTTCAAGATTAGCAGGAACAGCAATTTGTGCTATAACCACTCTGTTTTGTCATCAAAATTGAAGCTTGGGATTTCTCCTTGTGACAAGCATGGATTGCCCATGTCACCTCCTCCGGCCAAAGGCGATTCATCAGCAGATGACAGCAGTGATTCAGATTATGATGACAGTGATGGGGATGACTCTGATCAGAAGAAGGATCGTCATCATGGGCCAAGTAAGGTTGTTCTTGGTGTGGCCATTGGGCTTTCTTCCATAGTCTTCCTCATTATTTTCTTGGTTCTTCTCTCCAAATGGTGTGGTTGAAACTTGAAATTGAATTGTTTGTTGATTAAAGTTTTATTAGATTAGGCCAAATTGGTTATTGAAATTGAATTTTGATTAATTTATTATTATACTCAATGATGAGGAGGAAGAGTAGATGGGAAGGTGAAAAAAATTGAAAATAAACAAAAAAAGAAAAAGGAGGGAGAGGAATCATTAATTTGGAGTGTTATTTTTATCATTGCTTTGATGGCTTGCTGGAGAAAAGAGCAGTGGCTTTCCATTATTTTGTGATAGATGTGGCCAGTGGCCACTTGGGTGTATGATTTCTTAGCTGCCAGAGAGCCTAAAAGTGGCTTCATGTGTTTCCCAGATTATATATATGTAATTTTATTCTTCAGCCACAAGCATTTATCTTTTTTTTTTTTCTTGATCAGGTAGCTTTCTCTGAGTTTAATTGCTTTCTTTTTAGTGTATATATTCATGAATTGATAACAATGTGGATTGGCCAAATATTTTCTTGTATTAAAGTTTTGGTACAATTGGGTATATTATTCTTAGTTGATAAGTTAAGAGGCCAAGTTCTTTATGCTCTTTTGGTATACACATATGACATGTAAATTTGCAATTATTTTAGGTCACTAGATTCCTTTTGAGCACACCCAGAAAAAGAAATTTATTTACAGCTGTCTCTACTTGAATAGAGAAGAGGACAGTGGTTGGTTGATGATGATCGATTTATAAAGTGGAGTTATGAAGAAGAATGATGGTATGGTAGATATGTGAAAATTTATGCTCTTTTTCTTTTTCTACCAACAAATTTTATACAGAATCACTTTCCCAACAACACAATCTTGCAGTATTTTCTCATAATTGCATACAAAAGAGAGATAATTGTATAGAGGCCAAAGTCGTATTTTAGGCTCTTTACATTTGTTTCGTTTTTCAACCCCGAAAAAAAAAACAGTAATTCTATTTGAACACACTAAATCAACCACATACATTTTAAGCAGCCTAATTAAAGTTAATTAGGGCCGTCACGGTGTACCAGCATGAACGGCCATGTTGGTGGCACAAAGACAGAATTTGAGGGGGAAATAATGGCTGTCAATGAGGAGAGAAGGGAGGGGGAGGAAGAAAAGCTTGTTTTGCTCCTCTAGGATTTCCGATGGAAACCTATGTCACCGGTGGCTATCAATGGAGAGAACAAATAGGGCAAAAGCTCATAAGGTGAAAGGCCAAAAATAATTATTTTGTATATAATAAATTACCATTAACAAAATTATAGGCACTAACAAAATTATGATTTTGTTTCATCAAACCAAAAGAAAAAAGATAATAGGTCCAATTGGGTGCTATTTCAGTGCCATGGACATGTACCAATTTATCTTTCTATTCTTTCACAAACCAGGTTAAAGCTTTCCTATTTTCAATATCCAGACCCAAGAAAATAAATATAAAAAAATCAATTTCCAAATTCTAAACTAAAGCAAAAAGGTATCAAATAAATCGTTCAGGCAATTTATTGATTTTTATTTCATAGAATATAATTAATTCCCATAACAATAATATCTAGTAGAAGCCAAAAAAGAGACCCTAAACAAAGAACGAGAAAGAAGACAGAAAAAAAAAAAATACATAAAAGAGACCCTAAAAAAACAATACCTTTTTTGTCTCCGGCCTGAACATAAAATCTACCGAAGGGTTGCCATCGATTACTTCTTTTACGAGCTCTGGTGGCATAGCATTCTTGAGCTTAAACACTTGACGAATCTCGTCAACTTTCTTTCCCTTGATCACATCTGCAACCTTTTGAGAAACTTGAGCCAATAATTCCTTGTTGTATAGATAGTCCGCGGCGATGAAGATATGGCGCAAAACTGCTTGATCAACATTAAGAAACTCAGCGTCCCACTCTTTGAGTTCCTCCCTTTGCATGCCTTTTGCACCACTCCATCACCTTGCCTAGGATTTCAGCAGTCACGTTTGGCACTGAAATCTCGTCGCCGTCACAGCCTTCCTCCACCATGTTCTTGATGGTTTCACAAAGTACGGCCGCAGCCTCATTTACTTCAATTATTTCGTCATTCAAACACCTCAATCTGAAAACCCTACTCTTTGAGGAGGACATGATGATGTTTAAAGAAACTCTGAACCGCTGTGAATTAATTGAGAAGAGAGTGGAAGATGGTGATATATATTGGAAGACTTCCCCTAATTCTTGCAGGACAAGTAATATTGTATTTCCAACTATAACCAGAATTTCCACTTTTGTTCTCCTCCTCAGATAAGGAAGTCTTTTTGTTTTTTTTCATGAATTAAAAGTGCAAATTCTCTTGGGATAATTTGTAGAAAGAAGGTACGGTGTATTGGAAGGCCTTCGATAGGCACTGGGATATCAAGAGCGTATCCTTTCTTTTTCAATACAGAGATTCACTATTCAGAGAGCTTATCCTTTTCCTTCTCTCTATCTGTGAATTTACAAGACAAAATTCTCATGGTTTCAACTTACAATACAGAGCCTGGTTAGCAATTTCGAGTAATACTCGTATTATACATGCACATACATATTTTTGAAAAATACTTTCAAACATACAATACACGTATGTCCATATTCTTCATGTTTCATACACATACTTTTTACAAAATTTTCAATAATACGGACAAAAATAAAAATAATTTATATTAAAACATTATCTAATTTCATTGTCCTTTTTAAAAATTTTGCCGAATAATACACATACGTATTTTACTAATTATGATATAGACAAATCAAATCCTGCATCTCTACTGCAATTAACAGCCGTAAAATAGGAGGCCTCTTCAAGGAAACACCACAGCATAGACAAACTGAGATCGACGCTTAGTTAGCCCTTTGTAAATGAGAATGATCATAGCCTTTCAAATTGAGTCACATCGAAACTGCGGAGCAAGCATCTCTTCAAATTGGCCCATATTAAGATCCTAACTCAAATGTCTATCCAGAGTGTTTTATGTTGGTCGATCGAAAAGCAGTTATATACAACAATAGCTTGATCATGTGCGTGACAATCAACCTTTGGAGGAGGTACTTTGCAAGTGTATCAAAATTGATGAGCCTACTTGCATTCAAAGTCCAACTTCAGTTTACCAGAAACCCCTGCAAGAACAACTCCCATCTTTCATATGGTGAAAGCGGTTAGAATCTCTTAAAACAATCTCCCTTCTAGATGTCTTAGAGATGAACTTGGCCATCTCATGACAGTCACCGCATACTCGTAGATTCTTGGTCACCCGTATGGTTTTCCCAGGTGGCAAGTTCAGTATCCCAAATGCTATGGCTAACTTCTCACTATGCCCACAGAGAGCCACTTCTTTCTCCATCTCATCTGCATCAATCAAAGCATACTGCATTTTAGGAGAATAGCCTTCTTCCTTCATCTTCAATCTTAATCGCTTCAATAGAGACTCTATCTTTGTGGCTTGTGGGTGTGAACTATTTCCAGCGACAAAGATTTGAACTTTCCCCTTGATCTCTATCCAACTGCAGCCTGGATTCTTTTTTAAGCCTTGCCGACCAATCCTCTCTCTCAACGTTTTCACTGCTTCCCACTTTTCTGCCTCTGCATAAATATTTGCTAGAAGTACATAATACCCCGTGTTTTCTGGCTCTAGTTCAAAAACATGTTCTGCGACTTTCTCCGCTAGTTTTACATCGTGGTGGATCCTACAACCGCAGAGCAAGGAACCCCAGATAGTTGCATCTGGCTCAATGGGCATCTTGTTAATAAACTTATATGCCTTGGTTAGATTCCCAGTGCGGGCAAGAAGATCCACCATACAAGCATAGTGCTCTAACTTTGGAACAATGCTGTACTCATTTCTCATACTATCAAAGAATCTCCATGCTTCATCAAGTAACCCAGAATGACTGCAAGCGTAAAGTATAGAAATGAAGGAAATACCGTCAGGTTTTATTCCTGATTTTCTCATCTCATTAAAGGCAGTAATAGCTTCCCTTCCAAATCCATGCATGCCATATCCAGCAACTATGACAGTCCAAGAAATCAGATCCTTTATGGGAATAATGTCAAAAAGTAATCGTGCAAGAACTAGTACCCCACACTTGACATACATGTCAACAAGTGCATTGGCAACATACCGATCCGAAAAGTATCCATTTCTCAATATATGGCCATGGATCTCTTGACCTCTGTTTAGAGCTGCTAGGCTGGCACAAGCCGGAAGGACACTCGCAATTGTCATGCCGTCAGGTTTTGATTTCCGTTGCATCTCAGAAAAGAGTTTAAGAGCTTCATTGGGAAGACAGATTTTCGAGTAACCCCCTATCATGGTATTCCACGAGACAATGTCCTTCACAGGCATATTAGAAAAAACCGAGTGAGCATCTTCCATGCTTCCACATTTCGCATACATATCCATGAGAGTATTGCAGACAAATAAACTGGAGTCCATGCCATGTTCCCTAATGTACTTATGTATATCCCTGCCTTTTTTCAATGAACCATTACAAGCACACGCATGAAGTATGCTTGTGATTGTATAAACATCTGGGCTAACGCCATTCCTTTCCATTTCTGAGAATAATTCGATCGCCTCATCTGAAAGCCCTTCTCGGACATACCCTGCTATCATTGAAGTCCATGACACAACACTTCTTTGACCCATCTTCCCAAAGACTTGAGTTGCACTACTCAGATCGCCACATTTTGAATACATGTCTAGAACATTATTACAGAACATGATATCCACGTCCAAACAAGTTTTTATTGCATAAGAATGAAGCGCCCTACCCAATGAAAGATTTCCACCATCTGAACAAGCCATTAGAACATTGATAACAGTAGCCAAATCCACATCTACCCCAAAAGAAAGCATCTGTCTGAAAATCTCAACCCCCTTCCCCGCAAGACCGTTGGACACATATGCACTTATCATTGAATTCCACGATATAACATCTCGATCACTCAATTCGTCAAACACCTTACGTGCACTTTCAATTCTTCTATTCTTAAAATAGAAGGCCATTAGCGAATTACCAACTGTGTTATCAGAACCAAATCCCAATTTGTACAGATACCCATGAACCCATTCACCTTCTCGTACATATCCTAGGGAAGAAAAACACTTTAAAATACAAGAAAATGTATAAGAATTTGCTTGGATACCCAGCTCCTGCATCTTCCTAAATAAATGTATACCTTCCCTAAAATTACCAACCTTTGCATACTCATTGATCATAAGGTTCCAAAGAAAAACCTTTCCATTTGATAATTGATCAAAAACTCGCCTAGCTTCTCTTAAATCCCCACACTTTACAAACATAAAAACAAGTTTTGCACCTAAAGGTCCATCAACTTCTGCGCCATTGTTACATATAACTGAATGAACCCTTTTACCATCTTGCAGCGACTTAAGTCCAGCACAGAGCTCCAAGACGGAGCAGTAACCCTCCAAATCAAGCTCGGATTTTTGAGACCCGCATACCAATTCCACGGCGTTTTTTAGATTACCCATTTCACAGTATTTGCTAATCTTGACATTCTTGTCTATAACTTCACTGTTAGTGGATATGGCGACCGAGGCTGAGACACGAAATTTGGCACAAGAATGATCCAAATTCGAAGAGAACAGAGAGGTTCTTGAAGAGGGTTTGGAGAAGAAGAAGCCATTTGAGGATCTAGAAGACTTTGCTTCATTATCATTGTGCGGCAGAGCAGAGACCGACAACAAGTTCGGTGAGGTTGTGGCTAGCATCAACATAGTCCCTGTAAAACAAAACAAAGCCGCGCGAAAATTTCAATTAGCCTGAACCTAGAAGATAACTAACCAGAGTCTTTATTTATTTATACATATAAATTTTAGTTTTAAATACCAAAAAGGAAAAATGGCGCGCGTGCTTTACACACACCACCAGAAGTTGTGGACCAGAAAATTTTGTAATAAAATAAGAGTTACTGAAGAGAAGGAACTGTCAGAATCTAATCCATTTGTATACTCAGAATCTTGGTTTCTCATTTTCCACATTCAACTTCAAGAACCCAAATTGGCCTTGAATTTAACATATGGGTGCAATTGTTCATGAATATCATTCTGTGCTTCGCTTTCCCCCTTTCTTCTCTTTCAGCAAGCAGCCCAAGCTGGGAAAATCCATTTTCTCTCTGAAAGGTATTTAAAGTTTTCACTTTCTAGGAATTCCACTTTGAATTCTGCAATGGGTTCTTCTTGGAATTGTGTTTGGTATCTGTTAAAAAGAAAGATATCAGCTTGGTTTAAGTGTTTTTCTTGTCTGGGATTGTTGGACTTTTTACTATTTTGAAGTCGAATATGGTGAAAATTATTTCACTTATTATGTTGTTTTTTGTTGAATTGAATTATCATTCCTCTTTTGATTAGCTTGAACTGAAGTTCGGATTTGATATCAACAAATGAATTTGTTGTTTGCTGGCTATAGATAATAGACTGAGGGATCATTTCTTGATGCAGCTTGTTAAATTTGGCTGAGATTGCAGATGTGCCTTCACCCTTTGAGCGAAAGGGCCTTCACTTAACTGTGTCCTGCATTGGATCTGAAGGAAACGGAGGAGACCAACCTCCTCGGAGACGTTCTTCTTCAGGAAGAACGAATAAGAACGATGGAACTAAGAAGAAACGTGAAGCAGGTGGTAAAAAATCCAAGGCATCTGACCAGGAAGAGATCATTTCTCTATTCAGACGGATACAGACTTCGATCTCGAACAAAGAGTCTGTAAATGCTAAGAAGATAAATTCCAATGTCTCTGAAGATAGCCCCTCTTCTGAGTCAATTCTTCAGGCTCTTTATGGATCGAGGAAGCAAAAAGGTAATGCAGATGAATGTCATGTTTGATGCAATCACTTGTCATGCACAACACAGCACAGCTACCACGTCTGCACCTAAACACGCACATGTTCAAGCCTTATTTCTAGTTATGATGATTGAATTTCTCTTCTTTCACATATTATTTCTTAGTCAAATACTAATTACTGCAGGCAAAGCTTTAGACAAGGCAGGGCAAGGGGTCTGGACAAGGAGGAAAGATGCGCAAGAGCAGCAAATACAGGAGGATCCCTCAGTTGCAGAGTTCAAGTTAACACGCCCGCCGTCTAAATTTGTGAAAAGATCTCCGATTCCATCTCAATCAATCCGAAGAGTTCAGGTTCTTGAGCTGAATAACGGAGCATCACCTTCTGCGGCTGGAAGAATAGAAGAAATGAAACTCCCTGAGTTGAAAGAACTGGCAAAGACCAGAGGAATTAAAGGTTACTCGAAACTTAAAAAGAGCGAGCTCGTTCAACTGCTGAAGTCCTAAAGCAATGTAAAAACCTTGCCCATATATTTGTACCAGAGCATTATTTGTAAGTGACAGATTGAATTTCACCTTACGTTCTTCAAAATGTTGTGCAGTCCTAGCTACCCACATTTTACAGGGTGGCCACCAAAGTATGGTTGTTTTTAAACTCTAAACTCAATGACCCCTGGCTCCTAATTGATTTTAGAGTTCTGATACTGTTGTGTTGTGGTTGCTTGTTCCCTTATTTGCTATGTTTCTCTTCCCATGCTATAGCCAAGAGATAGAACAATGAAAAATCAAGCCTGTCAAACAGCTTTCAATACTGGCATGAACATCTGGGCAGCCATTTTATATTGGCAACAAATAATATGACAGATGAGTAACAAAATGGTCACAAGGCAAACTAAAATTTGCTGACAGTAATAATGGCTGCTCCATATAGCAACAAGAGTCGAAACAAGAGGGCATCATCAAGTTTTCAAGATCAAAATTACTGGCACATCTCTTTAATGGAGATACTAACTCCTGATACATAGAAATTGGTAAAAAGTAGCAGCTTGCCAAAACTAAAACAAAATATCCAAGACTAGTAGATCTGTCTAGTTAACAATATTTTGGGACTTGTTAAGAATGACCCCTTCATATTTGACCTGGAACCACTTCATTGCATCCTCCTTGGTAACCCTGTGCTGAATTCCAACACGCGACTTGCATCTGCGACGACGACCCACACGGTATCCTGGGCGCTCTAAAACAACAAAAAAGTCCATGCCATAGATACCAGTTGAAGGGTCATACCTGAAGGAAGAACAACAAAACTGGTTAGTGATACCCAAATATGCATGCCACTTACTGGTCATCCTTCAAGTTAAGGCAACCTCAACTATCCGACGTTTTAAATAGTAACAGCCCAGGAACATTATAGGGTCAGTTATTTCAAAATTATGCCTCCTATGTTACAACATAATATTCAACACATATTTGAAACAAACTCATAAAAGGTAAAAACGAGTCCTAGATATATGGTTTGTACCTCAAAGTCAGCATATTCAACTGCTTTCGAAAATGGAAAGAAATAAAACCCCTTAGCAAATACACATGAAATTTTCACAAGATGCCCTACCTCCATTGTTACCCACGCTGCACACCTTTTTCAGCCTATGCCAATCGTAAAAGTAAATTGTACGGAGTCAGCCTAATTCCCACCCTATAAGTAGTTCGAACTTGCAAACCATTTTGAGCTAAATCCAAGAAACTTGATGAACAAATCTAATTCCCATATAAAATTATTGAACTTTTCCCAATCTCATTAGAAATTAAATCTAAAGCCCAAACCACAAAACCTATCAACAAACTACATGATTCCACAAACTCAATATACAAATGATTCCACAAAGACAATTATCATGAGGTTATATGCCAAAATCAAGAATAAAGGAGCACTAACTTGATCCCAAGATCGATATGTTCCTGAATACCGAAGCCGAAGCAGCCGGTGTCACTGAAGTTCCTGCGCAAGAGCTCGTATTCCTTGACCTTCAGTCCACTCTCCAGAAGTTGCATTGCCTTGTCGCCTCTCACAGTCACGTAGCAGGCAATCTTCTCATTACGCCTGATACCGAAGGATCGCACCGTGTACCGAGCTGCAGGCAAACATAACTCAAAAAATTAATAAATCCATAAATAACAAAAAATGTAAAAACGACAAAGCAGAGAGAATCTAATGGAAGCTCACCTTTGGAGAAGACAGGGGTTTGGCCACTGAGTTGTTCCAAGACCTAGGGAAAAGGGGCAAAATTGGAAATAAAAAGATCAGTATATGATTTTGATATCATTTTTGTTTTGGGTAGTTTTGTTGTGAGGTAAAGGAGGAACCTTGGCGGCTCTGGTGAGTCGATCACCACTTTCTCCAACGGAGATGTTGAGGACGAGCTTCTGGACTTTGATTTCCCTCATGGGATTCGCCAGCTTTTTCTCCGACGCCTGAATTTGACACACAAAGACAACTTCATCAGAACAACCACAACAATAACAACAGCACAGAAATTCCAATAAACATCAAGAGAGAGAAAGAGGAGAGAGAGGAGACCATTGTGGTATGAGAGTGTGCAGAGAAGGCGGAGCAGAAGAAACTCGGAGAAGGAAATACAAATATAGGGGGAGAGACGATGCGAGTGATGAGCGAGCTAGGGTTTTTATTTCTGATTTGGGCTGCCTCAGAACCCAGATTTGAACCCGAGCCTTTTGGGTGGGATGTAGCCCAACTATACTTGTGGGCTTCCAGGAGCTCGAACCCTCAGATGGGCTTGTGGGATTCTTGATCCCTTAACAAGATGAGACAGAGGTTCATGAGTAGGATAATTATTCGCAAGTATCTGATGTAGCAAAATTAATTTGGAATTAGACAATTCCGGGTTCGAATACAGGCAGCGGGATAATTTTTTTCTTTTATTTATTTAAGTAAAATTATTTGCAAGTGAGAGAGTATATATATATACTCTCTTTTCTCTTAGGTTAACAAGAATCCGCTCTAGCAAAATTAATATGGAATTTGACAATTCCGGGTTCGACTCCCGGCAGCGGAATAATTTTCTCTTTTATATGTTTACGTAAAATTATTTGCAAGTGAAATAATATGTTATTTACATAGTATAGCCGATCGGCTATACTCGGGTATTTTTTATTTTAAAAAAATAGTATAGCCGCGCAGCTATACTTGTTTTGACACCTAGTCACTAGGCGGGTCTTTTTTACCCTATAAATAGTATAGCCGCACGGATATACCCTGGTATTTAAAAAACAAATTAGTATGGCCGTATAGCCACGCGGCCATACTGAAATAGTATAGCCGGCTATACTCTCCTCGTGCTTTTTCCAAAACAGGTATAGCCGCGCGGCTATACCTGTTTTCACAAGTTTAGCGGGTCCCCTTTTTATAAATAGTATAGCCGCACGGCTATACTCGGGTAATTTTTTTTCCAAAATAGAAGGGTAATTTTTAATTTTTTTTTTAATAAAAATATAATATACTTTCATTTCTCTTAAATGCATTTGAATCCGCTGTAGCACAATTAAAATTGATTTGGAATTAGACAATTCTGGTTCGACTCCCGGCAGTGGAATAGTTTTTTCATTTTTCCATTTCAAGCTTACCAAGAAAGAAAAAACTTAAACATGTAAAAATTATTTGGAACTAGTTAGTTCCTGGTTCAACTCCCAGCAGCAGAATAAGTATTTCTTTTATTTATTTACGGCAGGTTAGAATTGAAACAATTCTTGACATGGATCGGTCTTGGTCATGATCCCATTCAATATCGCATTATGGCTTTTTGACTGGTCAAATCCATCATTCTTGAGTTGTTTTAAGGCAGAGCAAATCAAATAACACGTTGAAGAGAAGAAGGAAATCCACTCTCTGCAGCAAAGACTTGTAAAATGCAGGCAAGCAGGTTTCTTGAACCCATCTATGGCCTTGACGAGGTGATATCATTGTTGTTTTATCATATATTTGTCTGGTTGGTTGCTGCCTCCCAAGTACCAAACCATGGATGCTTCCTTCCCCTCTCTCTCCCATTCACTAGTTTCTGCTTGTGGGTTTCTTACCCTCTACGGTCATTTTTGCTCTGTTTTAAAGTTGGATTGGAGTTGCTGACTTTTGTGCAAATGGTTTCGTGGCGTGGAGGCAAAGGTACCAAAAAAGAAACAATAAATGGTTGCTTACGCGTCCAGTGTGCGCCTTGGTCTTCCAAAGTAACATAGAGAAAAGTCATGCTGTATGCATCATCATAAGTCTCTGTGACCCAACATTTGAACTAGTACGCAGAAATTACGGAAGCTATGTATATTCAATTTTTGCTATTACAAATTTACATCAAGTGCAGTATAAAATGAAGTTTGTTTATCATATTGAAATAAATCTATCAAACACTAAAATATTAGCAAAATACATAAAACCAAGGATGGGTTTTCACTTGTATAATGGAGTCTACAACAAAGATGGCGTATGGCAAAAGGTAGCTCCAAGGAATACGAACAACTTTTTCGCTTTCTAATTTCATGTCCTAGCCCCTTTTTTTTCTTCTTTTTTCCAGCAACAAATGTTAAAGATTATGCCAAAACCCGCCAGAAAGTAAAAGAATATAAGAATATCACCAGTCACACTGAAAGAAAACACCAAATAACTGCACTCTGCTCCTAAGATGTCAAGATGGCAACTCTACTCATTTGAAACCTCAAATCTTCAGGGCTTATATGCAGAAACCGACAGAGTATGTTTACAAGTGAATGGAAGACCAGAAAATCCCATTTAAGGCAACATGTCGCAAGATTCCACATGACGCATGCTACGGATGCAGCCTTGAAACATAATGCAACACGACCTCAATACTTTATTCACATCCCTGACTAGAACATATCTACACGAAAAAACCATGGAAGTACAAAGGCTATTACCAGACATGCCATTAAAAAGTTGCAAAATGGCTGTCCCCGCCAACATCCTCCATTCCTGTCCGATGAGTTATTTTCAATACCAGAAAGCGTTTCTTCATTCCACTCCTCCATAAATCTGCTATCCCCATGACCAGTGACATTGTTTGCCGTCTCACCACAGATTTCGCACGTCCTGCATGAATAAAAATAAGAAAGGAATCAACTTATATTGTGATCTCTGATGCTAGGTTCTTGTGCAGAGAATTTCACTAGCTCTACTGTTTATTTAGACTTTGAAAATACTTCCTGACTAAAAAAAACCACTCCACAGATAATTGTAACAGAAAACAATTTTAAAATCAAAATTAACCACAGCAAAGCTTAGTTATTGGAAATGAAAAAAGTTTCACTTTCTCTTCTGCTACCTTGCGGCTACTTCATATCAGATTCACTTTAACTTTCCCAGGGTTTCAATGCAGAAATGGAGCAAATGACAAAAGAAAAACTTGAATACCATTTATAAAATAGAACAAGATCTTGTTACTTGTCACTTGTGTCATTTACTTTGTAACACTACAATCATTTCAGAGTCGTAACACTTCCAAGCAGGGAATCCTGACATGAGATTTGTGTTAACTTAAAAAACCAAGTTTGAAAACAAAAGCGGAACAAAAAGAAGAGCAGTAGTGCCATTTATAAGCATTCATGAGAATTTTCTCCGCCTTACTAATACAGAGATTAATAATGTTATTCACATTCTGTAATGCCAAGAGTCTTGGTTCAAGTGGTAGAAGGCTGGGGTATGTTCATATAGTTAGGTTTACATCTTATTAATCAAAGTGCAGAAAACATTTTCTGCCATAACAATACAGTACAACTCTTAACTTTGATCTTTGAATATGGTGAAGCATGGAAAAAAAATTATGGGGTCATACTTAACACTTCTTGGCGGTTCAGTTTCATTCCACATTTCAGAAAAGAAAAGACCATCGTGAAACCAAACATTACAAACGCAGAAATATCAAACAAAAATGCAACAAAAAAAAAAGGTACCCAATACAAAATATAATCAAACATGCACACATGTAAGAATATGCACACACCACTTTTTCACACCCACAAAGCTTAAAGCATATTGTTGAACATCTATTATTACCACCAAAAACAAAAATTGACAGTGGGAAGCATTGAGAGAAAGAAAACAGGGTGGAAAGATGGAAATATTTACCTGTTTCCTTTTAGCTTAAACCATGCTTCGGCACAATGACCATGTGCAACACCTAGCTCATCTTTACACTCACAACCAAGATGAATTAATTCCGTAGGGGTAGAACTATTAGCAGTTTCAATTTTTTTGTCCGGTGATTGTTCAGAACTTAAATGGCAAATCCTACAAACCCTTTCCCCATCCCATTTATCACCAAAGCCTTTACCACTCCCACACCTCACATCAATCACATGTGAATCTTTCTCTGCTTGAGGCACCTTCTTCTTTGATTCTTCCACCGATACCTTACTCGACCCCAATTCGTCAACCTTAGTAACCAATCTTCCATTATCTCCAGTAACACGGGCAGCCTCATCCGAATTAATGACCACCACAGTCTCAGAAACATTCCCATCAGCCAAATTGTTTGAATTCTTATTATATCCTTGCTCAACTTCACTAGGAACCACACCACTACCAGGCTGGTCGCATGCCTCCTTATCATTCAGTTTCTCAAGCCCTTCCACCACTGCTTTTTTGGACCCCAATTCCTTTCCCAATGCTTCCAAATCTTCATTTTTTCCAATAACACAAGCGCCCTCTTCTGATTCAATCACAATGACAGTTTCAACAACCGACCAAACAACAGAATTTCTTGATTTCTCAGTCGTCTTTTGATCAACTGCACCCAAAACCTCACTGCTACCTTGCAGATCATGTGCCCCCGAATCCATTGCCAAACAAAAAGGTTTCCAACCTCCAAAGATTCCAACTTTCACAAACACCCAGCAATAATATACACCATACACCCAATTCTAAAATTCCACAACAGACCAACTCTAACAGTTGACGCACAAACCCAATTGGAGAACCAACGTTCTTATCTTTCTAAAGCATACGCAATGTGATGAAACTGAAAGTGACTAAACGAACGAATGAACCACTCCAAGAGTGTCTATATGGTAATCTCCAATCATCAAACAATCGATAAATAAATAAAAGCTAATAAGAAAAGAAACTCAACAACGAAAAACCAAACCTTCTCTTCCGCACAGACCAGTTCAATTCCAGGAAAGGAGCAGCAAAATTGGAGCTTTAATCCTGAGATACTAAAACATAAGGAATTTCAGATCTGGGTTTTATCCAATATCAACTTCACCAAGTGTGTGATTTCATTCTCTAGGAATTGGGTTGTTAATCTTAACCTTATTATATAATGTATACACAGGAAAGAGTATGAGGTTGGTGAAGAATGGAGCCAAAAAAATTGTTAAAAGAATATAGAAAGGTCGAGGGAACAAACAATAAGAGGTTGAAGAGTATTAAACTATTAAATGGGGCAGTGTGTACGCTGTGAAGAAGAAGATAAGGGCTTGAAGTGGATTGGATGAATAGCTATCTGCTCATTATTATGATATTATCTGTGTGCTAGTGCAGAGATTTTTTGCGTTTTTTTATGTAAGCTGCAGATGCAGGGAATTAAAGCTTTTTGATTTGCCAGTTGGGGTTACATTTATTTATTTAATTCCATTTGGCAGAGATTGTGGCCCTTTGGCTTACGTTTTGAATGGGTAAACTTTGTGGTTTGTGAGTGGCATTTTGTGTGTTGGAGTGTTTGTGCCGCGACTTGAGGAATCAGAGGAGAAGTTTACAAGGTCACAATATGTTAGGTTTGATGTCTGTCTCTTCCTATTGGCCATATCATTTTTTATTTTATTTTTTAGTTCCTAAGTTATGAAGAAATCAGACTCTTGCCGGTTTGGATTTAGAAAAAAGCCCGAATAGGTGACCGCCCCATTGACAAAAACATGTTGATACTCAAACTCGTCTTGCTTTAGTGGTAGAACATCTTATTTTTTATATTTTATAATAAGTATTCGGTTCTTATATTCGTCCCTTGATCTTATCATACAATACATTTGCGTCAAATGTTATCAATTGGTTTGTAGCTAGTTGATACTGACCCAAGTAAACGCTCGTAAGTAACCTATGAGATGCAGACTGGTGAGGATTTATGCAGACTCATAATTTGTTCAAAGTTGAATAGCCAATTGGGTGAGGTGACTTTACTTCAACGGAGAACCACTTATCTCTTCTAATTAGTATACATCTGGGGGTCTTGGAGGTCAAAACTTTAGATATTTTAATTTAAGTTGGTGTGATATGGGGGAGTTGATCTGTAGGAGAGAAGGCTTTTCTTGGTGCAAGTGAAGTATTACTAGTTGACAACAATATTATGATCATTAATTTATGGTTAAAAAATTATTAGAGTTTCTTGTGCATATACCCAAAACAACTTGGTTTTAGGCTTCCATGTTTATAATCAGAGGATCCTACTTTTATGCCATGACTCACTTTTTTACCTTATCAGTATGGAATTTGAAAAAAGATTTTGATTGGGTTAGATCCTCAATTTAATATATATTTGCATCAGATCCTTGAAACGATTCTATTTTTGGAGGGAGATGCAGAAAATGTGGACAAAATGAATGGAAGCGTTTGTGGTCAAAATGCAATAATACCATTTGTCCTTACAATGACAGAACTAAGTTCCTCAAGAAGAATATCTGATTAAGATAATGGAATGAAAGACCCCTGCAATAATTGCATAAATTACTCAGTCAAATCTGTCTGCACCACAAAAAATGCCATAACCTCAACAATTCAAATCCAGGAAATTCATGTAAGGCCATGGAAATTCTGCAGATGAAAACGATACCTGTGTAAATCCAACACGTATATACCTCAACTCACAGATGACGTTGAGAGAAGGCTGGTCCTACAGGCACTCACCCACCAAATAGGGTTGTACATTTAGCCGCCTAATTAAGAACGAAGACTAAGAACTTTGAGAATGAAACCAAGACTGGCAATTTGGCATTAGCATGTGCTGTGCCAACCAATCTTTTGTGGTACACGTTACAAAAGGGAATAGACTCTTGTCCCAAAGGATCTCAATCATTGGTAAAGTGGATGTTCAATCTCATTTCAATGTGCTGTCTAGTGTCTATTGTGCCATCATTCTAGTCACTTGTTTTTTATTAGGAAACAACTCTATAATTAGTAACTTAGTAACTCTCAACAAAATGCCAAATTCATTTACAGTTAATATTTTGATGTTGCAATTTGATATTTTCATGTCACCGAGGTCCCGAAAGCTCCATAGCTTCAATGATGAAAGAAGACTCTTGATGCACATCACTGCAATTCCTGGAGAAATCACAAGCCCTGGCGTCAAAAATGTTGTTTCCACCTTGTGATGCCTCTGTATGTCCTGATTGCCCAACTAAGCCTTCCAAAATCTTCAAGACCTCTGACATCTTTGGCCGGAGGATGGGACTTGACTGAGTACATTGTAGAGCCAACTCAACACATTGTTCCAGCTCTATTGCATCGAAACATCCTTTAAGATCTCTGTCTACTAGCACTTCCAACCTCTTCTCCTCATGTAGGGTTCTAACCTGCATGATTCAACAATTGGTAAACATTTTTAAAAATTACAAAATAAAACTGAGACAACAATAGGAACAGTGCAGAAATAAGAACCATGAAGGATAAAAAACCAATTTTGTGCAGCTTAGATATTTACAGGATGGATGAAAGACACTATTTTTTACTCAACATAGTCCATGAACAATGAGACTGACAACTTTCAATACAATAGAGACACAGAAAACATGTCAAACTACTTACCCAATCAAGAATCATTCCCTTCTGAACTTGACCATTTCCCGCATCTAATGCTTTTTGCCCGGTTATGAGTTCCAGAAGCAGTATTCCAAATCCAAAAACATCAGTTTTTTCAGAAGACTGTCCGGTCGAAAGATACTCTGGTGCTATGTGTCCCACAGTGCCCCGCACTGCAGTAGTGACATGTGATTCCCTCCGATCTAACAGCTTAGCAAGACCAAAGTCCCCAACTATAGCTTCATAACTTTCGTCAAGTAAAATGTTTGCCGCTTTGACATCCCTGTGAATAATTTTTGGATTACACTGTTCATGCAAGTATACTAGTCCCCGGGCAGCCCCAAGGGCTATACACAGTCTTCTGTTCCAATCCAATGATGGTTTTTCTCGACCAGTCTCTGTTGATTAGACTCAAATCATAAGAAACCACTAGCAAAGAAATAAAAGAGACGAGCTACTTAGACATAAATTCAAATTTCACAAGAACACAAATGCATAAAATAACTTTGATTAGATGCAGAGAAAAAAATCCAACCATGAATTGAATGTTATTACGTCTACAATGCCTTACTAGTCGAAGAATATAGATGTTAATGTTATGAAGAACATAAGTATTTTCTGAAACAATTTCTGAACTAAGATAACAATTGGATTGAGAATTTCTTTAACAGAAAGCACAATTGAGACAGTAAATACATAACATCATTCTGCAGCGTCTAAACCCAGTATTAGTCAAGCAACAAAATGAATTATCAGAGAGAGAGTGAGTTGCACGTGCAAGCAAAAAAGAAAAGAAAACAAACCTCTCAAACGGTCAGCAACACTCCCATTTGGCATAAAAGGATAAACAAGCAACCTCTCATTCGGAGTCATACAAAAGCCATATAAACGTAAAAGGTTTCTGTGCAAAGCCAAGCCAATCATTTCAACTTCAGTTTGAAACTGCACTTCTCCAGTGAAATTCGGATCTCTCAGCCTCTTAACTGCCACCATTGTCCTATTTGGAAGACATCCTCTATAAACGACTCCATATCCACCTTGTCCTAGGATATTTTTGGAACTAAAATTGCTGGTAGCAATTTGCAATTCCCGATAGGTGAACCGCTTCAGATGACTAATATCAAATTCATAATCTTGCTGCACTGCAGATATGAATCAGGGTATCTCATTAATATATATTGTCATATATTATGCTCAATAAAATGAGTTGGCATAGATCAGGAAGTACCATAAGATGTAAAGAGAAGACGAGATCTGTACCAATGCAACCAAAAAGCAAGTAGCATCACAGAAATGACAAATGTGCAACTAATGCCTACAGCAACAGAAAGCACCCATCGGTGGTGACCGTTGGCTTTCTTTGATGAGCCTGTCTCTGCAAATAAATTTTCATGAACATGTAACCTTATCTAAGGAACTGCACAATACAAATTTGAATTTCAGAGGTTGAATTACCATGTACTGGTTTGAAGACGCCAAAGCAGATTTGTGCTGAGTCTGCTGTTGAAGGATTACAAAGAAAGCTGTTCCCTGTAATGCTGCAGTTAATCATGTAAACTCTCAGCAGAATTTAAGCTGTTCAAACAAACCTCATACTGGTTTGAGTTTTATAACCATCCCCCTCATTAATTTCCTGAAATAAACTCTTACTCTCTCAACAAAATCTCTTTCTGCATATAGTCTCACCTGTAGCCTTTTGCCTGTATTTTTGGAGTAGGACCGCTAAGATTATTAAACGACAAATCTCTGTGTAAAATAGTTCCAAAACAATTAGAATTGCTCCAAGCAATCCAGAAATAAAAGTACACAGTTAGAAATGATAGAACACATACAAGAATGAAAGACCTGTGAGATTGGCAACAAGTCTAGGAATTTGACCACCCAACTTATTTCTACTAAGCCTCCTGAAATGCTTGGCATGGAAAGGGTTTCAAACACAAAGAAATATCACTAATAACCAGTAGTTATAGCAAAAATGAAACCAGAATCAATAGAAATAATAGTGCCCTGTCTATTGTAATCCCTACTCACAAGTAACTTAGGTGAGTCAGAAACCCCAAAGAACTTGGAATGTTTCCAGAAAACTGGTTACCCGAAAGGTCAAGAGTTTGAAGCTCTGAGAGTTTCCCAATCTCCATCGGGATAGGACCAGATAACTGATTGTTTTGTAACAACCTGCAATTGTAGAAACCAGAAACATAAATTCACAAGCCATAACTGTAAAAACGCTTAGATTCCTTTACATGTACACAGTTAGTTACGAAAAGAAAGATAAAGAGCTCCTACAATCAGGCCTCCTAACACGCATAGATTTATCCTAGTGTTCCAAAAGTTCACAATCTGAAAACTAATCTACATTGCCATGAAGCATGTTTCAACAGATTTACAATAGAAAATACAGTTGGACAGGCAACCAAACATATTCAGGAATGCCCCCAAAGAAAGAGGCTTACAGTGTACGAAGGTGACTCAAGTTCCCGATACTCGGCGAAAGCATTCCCGATAAACCCGTGCTGGCCATTTCACTAGCAAAAGCAATAACATAAAATTTCAGTTCGAGCTCAGCTAGACATGCATGCCGATAAAAAAATTATCTGATTCCATAAAATTCATAACTTGAACAGAATGAAAAAACACTCTGGTTTCAAGTTTCAACATACCAAGAAAACATCTTTTTTGTTTCATTGATTTCCAAACAGCAAAAATGCACCTCTTTCTTGCGAAACAAACAGAAGCTAATGGAGAATGAGGGACACTTACAGGGAGATTACAAAGCCCTCAACGGAGCAACCGACCATGTTCCAAGTGCATGGATCAACGGAGTTTATGTCCCATCCCTCCATCACTCGCAGCTCATCCTTCATCTCTCTCTTCACTGACATCAATGCAGCCACTGACCCACGCAAAACAACCATCAGCATTCATATTTTTCATCACAAAAAGAACAGAAAAGTAGAAAAT